GGGACTCGATCCAGGGACTCCAGGATCATGACCTGAGCCGAAGGCAGTCGCTTAACCAACTGAGCCACCCAGGCACCCAAAATATTTCAACTTTTTAAAAAGATCTGTTTATTTATTTTAGAGAGAGAGAGGTGCAGGGGGAGGGGCAGAGGGAGAGGGAGAGAGAATCTTCAAGTAGACTCCCTGCTGACAGTGGAGCCTGATGCAGGGCTTGATCTCACGACCCTGAGATCATGACCTGAGCCAAAACCAAGAGTTGAGCGCTTAACCGACTGAGCCACCCTGGTGCCCCAAAATACTTCAACTTTCTATATATGCTATGAAGGAAACAAACTGGGGACTAAAAGCATAACTTAGGAGGGTCATCTTTAAGTAGGATGATAAGAGAAGGACTCTTGGCAGATAAGGATAAGTGGGGCTAAAGGGACAGAAGAAGGTGGTCGTGGGAACAGTGGAACAGAAACCCACAGGAAGTCTCTTTTAACCCCATTAAGGCAACATGTGTGATGATACTCTTTGACATTTTGTGATAGGAAGAAAAGATTACAATGTAGATGTTCATCACTAGGGAAGTGGGTAAATAAAATGGTTGCACCGTTGATCCTTGAAGGGTGCAGGGGTTAGGGGTGCTAACCCCCACTGCACATTTGAAAATCTGAAAATCTATACATACATATAGAAAAGGGGATGATAGCAATCACCACAAAAATTAGAAAAATTGAGTTTGAGTATCTCAAAGCTGCATTCATGCATCTGCCACCCACAAGCCTGAACTAATAACAAATTGTAATTGGAGTTGATCTAGCCAAAAGATTGTGAATTCAACATAAGTTGAATTTGTTATCTGATGCAAAAAAAAGGTGAACTTCCTGTTTGGTTCCAAGGGAGAGCTGTCCCCAAACACAGCCAGTGCTGGTCTTACCTACATTTTTGGGAGCCTTGCACATAGGTATTGGTGGGTTTCAGAAGCAGAGGTGTTTAGGAACTGAAGGACTTTCAAAGGTGCTAGTGTGGTTATACTGGAGTAAGGCTGCAATGGTTGTTTTTTCTTGTAATATTTTTGTCTGGCTTTGCTATTAGGGTAATTCTGGCCTAATAGCCAGAAAGCATTCCCCCCTCCTCTATTTCCTAGAAAAGTTTGCAAAGGAATTATTTCTGCAAGTGTTTGCTAAAATGTACCAGTGAAGCCATCTGGGCCTTAGCTTTTCTTTGTAGAAAGGTTTTTTAAATTATTAATTTCATTTCCTTACTTTTTGTAGGTCTATTTTGATTATCCTGTTCTTCCTGAGTCAGTTTCAGTACTTTATGTCTTTCTAGGAATTTTCCCATTTCATCTCAGTTTAATTTGTTGGCATAAAATTGTTCACTGTATTTTTTTTCATAATTCTTTTAATTATTCTAGGGCTAATGGTGTCATCCTTTCATTCCTGATTTTGGTGATGTGTTCCCTCTCTCTCTGTTGGTCTAGTTAAGGTTTGACAATTTTGTTGCTCCTTTCAGAGAACCAACTTTTGGTTTAATTTATTTTCTCTATTATTTTTCTATTTTCTATTTCATTAATTCCCACTCTAGTATGTGATCTTCCTATTTTCCACTTATATCATGCTCAATAATTTAAGCTTTTGTCTTCAGAATCTAGATACAGAAGAGAAAATCTTAAATTATTGATTTGTGATCTTTCTTCTTTGCTAATATATGTGCTTAAAGCTATACATTTCCCTCTAAGTACTGCTTTAGCTACATCCCATAAAGTTTGATATATTGTGATTTCCTTTTCTTTCAGTTCTAAAGACTTTCTAATTTAACTTTGATTTCTTCTTTGGCTCATGGGTTATTTAGAAATATGTTGTTTAATTTACAAATGTTTATGGATTTTCCATTTTTTTAAAAGATTTTATTTATTTATTTGACAGAGAGAGACACAGTGAGAGAGGGAACACAAACAAGGGGAATGGGAGAGGGAGAAACAGGCTTTCTGCTGAGCAGAGAGCTGGATGCGGGGCTCGATCCCAGGACCCTGGGATCATGACCTGAGCCGAAGGCAGACGCTTAATGACTGAGCCACCCAGGTACCCCGGATTTTCCATTTTTTGAAAATTGTTGATTTCTAGTTTCATTCCCTTATGGTCAGAGAATATACTTTATATGATTTCAATTACTTTAAATTTATTGAGACTAGTTTTATGGTCAAGCATAAATTAGATACTAATAGATCATGGTCTATCATAGAGAATGTTTCTTGTGCAATTGAAAAAAATGTATATTACCCTGCTGTTGACTGGAAATTTCTATAAGTGCCAATTAAGTCAAGCAGACTGATAGTACTGAAGTCTCCCTTCAACTCATTCATTTTTTGTATCATATATTTTAGGCTCTCTTGTTAGATGTATCTATGTTTATGATTGTCTTATCTTACTGATGAATGATCTCTTTTTTAATATTATAAAATGTTTCTCTTTGTCCCTAGTAACCTTTTCCCCCTTAATTTTGTTTGACATTAGTATAGCCGCTGTAGCTCTCTTTTGGTAACTATTTACATTGTCTATCTTTTTCCATCCTTTTAGTTTTGACCTATTTGTATATTTGACGTTAGTGTGTCTCTTATAGACAGCACCTGGTTAGATTGTGCTTTTTTGAAACCCAGTCTGGCAATTTCTGCCTTTTTATTGGAGTGTTTAATCCATTGGATTTACATCTGTCATTTTGTCATTTGTTTTCTCTATATAGCTTTTTTGTGCCTTTGTCCTCTAATTGCCTTCTTTTGTGTTAAATAGATGTTTTCAGGTGTACCATTTTTCTTTTTTGTTAAAAAAAATCTATATATTTGGGAACTGGAGGGTATTATGCTAAGCAAAATAAGTCAATCAGAGAAAGACAATTATCATATGGTTTCATTCATATGTGGAATTTAAGAAACAAAACAGAGGATCATAGGGATCATAGAGAAGGGAGAGAAAAATAAAATAAGACAAAAACAGAGAGGGAGACAAACCATAAAAGACTCTTTTTTTTTTTTTGATATTTGAAATACAACTTTATTCTGATTCTAAACGAAAAGGAATGGGAATGACAGTGACAAACGAGATTTCACCACTTGATATTGTGAAAGCAGTCTCGTATCTGAAACTCAGGAAGGAAACAACCGCGTTCCAAAAGAGCTAAATATGCAGGTCCAAAAAATGAAAGTACTTTTTAAACTGCCACATTCACTCCGAAGCCCATTCATCTCCTTCAGCATCCCAAAGATTAAGCACATGTTCTGCTCAGCTATATAATAAAGTGGCAAACACGCTGCACCACTGACATCACAGGACAGTTGCCTATAAAACTAGACTTCTGACGCTGGGCTCCAGCTGCACGTTCTCACAGGTCATCATCTTCATCTGGGAGAGCAGTTGTCTGAGCAACCTCTAGATTATGCTCCTACTGTGCTGCCAAAGCTGGGTCCATGACAACCTCTGGTGGGGCAAGAGCGGGCATGGCGACAAACTCCAATTTAGGGTCTCCAATTAGTTTTCTAGCAAGCCACAGGAAGGGCTTTTCAAAGTTGTAGTTACTTTTGGCAGAAATGTCATAGTACTGAAGATTCTTCTTTCGGTGGAAGACAATAGATTTTGCCTTAACTTTCCTGTCCTTAATGTCCACTTTGTTGCCACACAGCACAATAGGGATGTTCTCACACACTCGTACCAGATCTCTATGCCAGTTAGGCACATTCTTGTAAGTAACCCTTGATGTGACATCAAACATTATAATGGCACACTGGGCCTGGATGTAGTAGCCATCCCGCAGCCCGCCGAACTTCTCCTGGCCGGCCGTGTCCCACACGTTGAACTTGATGGGTCCCCTGTTCGTGTGGAACACGAGCGGGTGGACCTCCACGCCCAAGGTGGCTACATACTTCTTCTCAAATTCACCCGTCAGGTGACGCTTCACGAACGTCGTCTTCCTGGTGCCACCGTCGCCAACCAGCACCAGTTTGAACTGGACTTGGGGCTCTCCCTGGGCAGCCATGGCGCTGGTGCTTCCAGAAGCGTCTCCGGCCCGTCTGACTAAGACCATAAAAGACTCTTAACTATAGGAAACAAACTGAGGGTTGCTGGAGGGGAGAGGGGTGGGGGGATGGGGTAACTGAGTGATGGGCATTAAGGAGGGCACGTGATGTAATGAGCACTGAGTGTTATAGGCAACTGATGAATAACTGAACTCTACCTTTGACACTAATGATACATTATATGTTAATTAATTGAATTTAAATAAAAAACTTTTAAAAAGGAAAAAAAGAAAAAAGAAATAGTTAAATGTAGTTAAGCAATCACTAATGTTCAATAATTAACTTCTAGACTTTATAAAAAATGTTATTTTGTTCCAGTGTAAAGAAATAGCTGTTAAAATAACTCAAGTAAAAAATGAGTTATTATATAGTACTGTTCCAAATAAATGATTTTTATAATAAAAAAGCTATATATTTGGAGTTCTTTTTAATGGATGCTCTGGGGAAAACAATATGCATTTTAACTTAAAAAACAATTTCAGATGAATATTAACTTAATTCCAATAGTATACAGAAACTACTGAAATATAGTTCTCTTCCTACCTCCTCTGTAGTATTGTCATGCAAATTCCATCCTTATACATTATGAGCCTAACAATAGCTTTATAATTATGGCTTTATACAGTTGTCTTTTAAATTATTTGAGATGAAGGGGCGCCTGGGTGGCTCAGTCATTAAGCGTCTGCCTTCTGCTCAGGTCATGATCTCAGGGTCCCGGGATCGAGTCCCGCATCTGGCTCCCTGCTCGGCGGGAAGCCTGCTTCTCCCTCTCCCCCTCCCTCTGCTTGTGTTCCCTCTCTCTCTCTCTCTGTCAAATAAATAAATAAAATCTTTAAAAAATGATACCTGCAAGAACATAGTAAAATTCTTATTAAAAAAATGAATAAATTATTTGAGATGAAAAGAGTATACATCATATCAATAGAATATAGAACAAACTAAAGAACAAAACACTCATGATCATTTCAGTGGACACAAGCATTTGACAAAATCCAACATGATGAAAACACTCACAAACTTTGAATAGAAGGAAACATCCTCAACCTGATAAAGATCATCCATGAAAACCCATAGTTAACATCATACTTAATGGTGAGTGATTGGTTGCTTTCCCTCTAAGATCAGGAACAAGACAAGGATGTCTACTCTCATCATTGCTATTCAACACTGTACTAAATGTTCTAGCCAGGGCAATTTAGGCAAGAAAAAGATATAAAAGGCATCAATATTGAAAAGGAAGAAGCAAAACTATATTCACAGGCGACATGAGATTGTATACAGAAAATCCCAAGGAATCCATTAAAGCATTGTTAGAACTGATAAATGAATTCAGCAAGGTTGCAGGATATAAGAGGCATAACTTAGAGATATTGTCAGTTCAGTTTCAGACCACTGCAATTAAAAGAGTCAAATGATTTTTTTTGTTTCCCAGTTCATACAACAGTCATGTTTATACTGTTCTGTAGTCATGAAGATGCAATAGCATGATGTCCCAAAAAACAATGTATATACCTTCACTTAAAAAAACTTCAGTGCTAAAGATTGCTAACCATTGTCTGAGCTCTTAATGAGTAATAATCTTTTTGCAGGTGGAAGGTCTTTCCTCAGTGTTGATGGCTGTTGACTGATCAGGGTGGTGGTTGCTGAAGGTTGGGATGGCTGTGGCAATTTCTCAAAATAAGACAACAATGAAGTTTGCCTCATTGATCGACTCTTCCTTTCACGAATGATTTCTCTTTAGCATGAGATGCTGTTTGATAGTATTTTACCCACAGTAGAACTTCTTTCAAAATTGGAGTCAATCCTCTTAAACCTTTCTGCTGCTTTATCAACTAAGTTTATGTAATATTCTAAGTCCTTTGTTGTCATTTCAACAATCTTCACCAGGAATAGATTCCATCTCAAGAAACCACCTTGCTCATCCATAAGAAGCAACTCCTCATCTGTTAAAAGTTTTACCATGAGATTGTAGAAATTCAGTCACATCTTTGGGCTCCACTTCTAATTCTAGTTCTCCTGCTATTTCCACATCTGCAGTTACTTCTTCCACTGAGGTCTAGAACACCTCAAAGACATCCACATGGGTTGGAATCCACTTCTTCCAAACTCCTGTAAATGCAGATATTTTGACCTCTTCTTATGAATCACAAATGTCCTCAATGGCATCTAGACTGGTGAATCCTTTCCAGAAGGTTTTCATTTTATTTGGCCCAGATCCATCAGAGGAATCACAATCCATGGCAGTGGTAGCCTTGTGAAAGGTATTTCCTAAATAATAAGACTTAAAACTGAAAACTACTCCTTAATTCATGGGCTGCAGAATGGGTGTTGTGTTAGCAGGCATGAAAACGATATCCATCTTGTTGTACTTCTTCATTAGAGCTCTTGGGTGACCAGGAGCATCGTCACTGAGCAGTAATATTTTGAAAGGAATCTTTTTCTGAGTAGTAGGTCTCAACAGTGGGCTTAACATATTCAGGAAACCATGTTGTAAGTAGGTGTGCTGTCATCCAAGCTTTGTTGTTCCATTTGTAGAGCATGGGTAGAGTAGATTTAGCAGAATTCTTCAGGGCCCTAGGATTTTCAGAAATGGTAAATGAGCAGTGACTTCAACTTAAAGTCACCTGCTGCCTTAGCCTCTAACAAAAGTCAGCCTGTCCTTTGAAGCCAGGCACCGACTTCTCCTCTCTAGCTGTGAAAGTCCTGGATGGCATCTTCTTCCTATAGAAGGCAATTTCATTCACATTGAAAATCTGTTGTTTAGTGTAACCACATTTACTAATGATCTTAGCTAGATCTCCTGGAGTCAGAACTTACTGCAGTCAGAACACACACAACATTTATCAAATAAGTTTGCCACCTTATATGAGTATGGTTCACGGTGTCCCAGAGCAATCACAATAATAATATTGAAGATCACTGATCACAGATCCGCATAAGAAATATAATAATGAAAAAGTTCAAAATATTGTACGAATTACCAAAAATGTGATGCACAGACACAAAGTGACAAAATGCTGCTGGAAAGATAATGTTGATAGACTTGCTCAGTGCACGGTTGCCACAACCTTCAATTTGTAAAAAAAAAAGTGCAATATCACTGAAGTGCCATAAGATAAGGTATGCCTATACAAAAAAAAAGATCATTGCCAAAACCAATGTTAAGGAGCTTCTCCTATGTTTTCTTCTGGGAGTTTCATGGTCTCAGGTCTTATCTATATGTCTTTAATATATTTTGGGTGAATTTCTATGAGGATAAGATTAATTTTCTGCATTTTCTGCATTACATTTTTCTGCATGGGGCTATCCAGTTTTCTCAACATCATTTGCTGAGGAGACTATTCTTTCTCCATTGAGTGCTCATGCTTCCCTTGTCAAATACTAGCAGACTGTCCATGAGGGGTTTATTCCTGGGCTGTCTAGTCTGCTTCATTAGGCTCTGTGTCTGTTTTCATGCCAGTACCATACTGGTTTAATTACTATAGCTTTGCAGGATAGTTTGAAATCAGGACATATGATATCATTCTGGCTTTGTTCTTTCTCAGGATTGCGTTGGATATTTGGGGTCTTTTCAGGTTCCATACAAATTTTAAGATTGTTTTTTCCATTTCTGTGAAAACTATCATTGGAATTTTGGTAGGGATTGCACTGAATCTATAGATGTCTTTGGGTATATGGACATTTTAACAATATCAATTCTTCTGATCCCTGGACACAGGAGATCTTTCCATTGGTTTGTGTCTTCTTCAATTTCTTTCACCAATGTCTTATAGTTTTCATTGTACAGCTCATTTCTAAATTTATTCCTAAGCATTTTATTCTTTTTGATGCTATTGTAAACATAGTAGTTTCTTTTATTTCTTTTTTAGGTGCTTCATTGTTAGTGCATAGAAACACAACTGATGTCTATACGTTGACTTTATATCTTGCAGCTTGACTAACTCTTTTTGATTAATTCCAACAGTTTTTTAAAATATTTTATTTATTTATTTGACAGAGAGAGCAAGAGAGGTGACACAAGCAAGGGGAATGGGAGAGGGAGAAGCAGGCTCTCCCTCTCTCCCTGGAAGCAGCAGAGAGCCTGATGCGGGGCTCGATTCCAGGACCCTGGGATCATGACCTGAGCCGAAGGCAGACACTTAACGAATGAGCCACCCAGGCGCCCCCCCAACAGTTTTTTTGATGAGTCTTTAGGATTTTCTACATATAAGATCATGTTATCTACAAGTGGAGACTATTTTATTGCTTCCATTCCAATTTGGATGCCTTTTATTTCTTTGTCTTGCCTGATTTCTGTGCCTAGAACTTCCTGTACTATACTGAATTGGAACGGTAAGAGTGGGCATCCTTGTCTTGTTCCTAATCTTAGAGGAAAGATTTTACTCTCTGTCAAGTATGATGTTACCTGTGAGTTTGTTGTATATGACCTTTTATTATGTTGAGGTATGGTCCTTCTACACCCAATTTGTTGAGAGTTTCAGCATGAAATGATGTTGCATTTTGTCAAATGCCTTTTCTGAATCTATTGAAATGATCATAAGATTTTTATCTTCATTCTCTTAATGTGGTGTGTTTGCATATGTTGAACCATCCTTGCATCTCAGGCATAAATCCCATGTGATCAAAGTGTATAATTCTTTTATCGTGTTGTTGAATTTGGTTTGCTAATACTTTGTTGAGAGTTTTTGCATCTATATTCATCAAGGATATTGTCTTTCTGTGTTTTCTCATAGCTTGTTGAGTTTTCCCAAAACAGCTGTTTCAAATTCCTTATCAGCTAGATCATAAAACTCTGTGACTTTGAGCTTGGTTATTGGAGGATTACCGTTATCTTTGGGTGATGACAGGTTTCCTTGATTCCTCATAGTCCTTGTAGTTTTGTGTTGCTGTTTTCACATTTGAAGTAGCGGACGTGGGGCACCTGGGTGGCTCAGATGGTTAAGCGTCTGCCTTTGGCTCAGGTCATGATCTCTAGGTCCTGGAATCGAGC